AGCTATTAATTTTTATTTGTCTTGTCATTTAAAGCATTCCGAGCGACTCGCTTCTGGCCCTCTCTCTCTGATGGTTTCCCCGGGACAGAGGGAGAGATGGGGATAGCGGAGAGCGGAGTGCGGAGATCTCGAATTACCTTATAAATAGTTTTGTCGGGTAGTAAAAGTCGCTAAAGACCACGGCTTGATAGAGATGGTGATGGCGATGGCGATGGTGGGGATTGGTGGAGATTGGCGATGCTGATGCTGCAGCTGCCAGATGCGTGGCTTACCTGCAAAGAGAAAGAGAGAGAAAGGATGAGATGAGATGAGGTAAGAACTCGTTGAGATAATTGTTAGATGAGGTAACTGAAAAAGATACTCGCACTTGGGAATGTCTGGTTCGTGGTTCTGGCTTTAAGACACGAACGGAAAACGGGAAGCGGCAAAAAATAGACAACCAAGAGAAAGGCTTTGATTTATTCTACAGAAAATACTAGAAGAATACTAAATATCAGAACTAAAGAAGTGTTCACAAGTTGCAACAAAATATTCCAACTGTAAGAATTCTGGTTCTTATGATATTATAGTATTTTTTTGTATTTTTCGGTATTTTTTGAAATTGTGGTATTTTTTTAGTATTTTTGCTATTTCAGAACATGATTAATTGCAATAAATTGGTTGATGTTTTGAATGTTTTGGTATTAAGTATGTTAGTATTTTATTCGGTATTTTCTATGACCTTTACCTGAATACAAATTCAAACTTACATCCAACAGTAGATTCTCAAGTATCTATTATTTATTTTTGTTATTTTTCTAGGAATTTATTAGCGCAGAAACTGCTCAAGAATGCAGTTCCCACCAGCCCAAACAGGCACACACACACGTAAATCAATCAAGCTGCCTGCTGTAAGCCCGCCCCATGCAAAGTGCAACCAGGCAACCTGCAACTGTTGCACAGAGCGTTTCCCATGGCCACGACTCGGCCACGCGACAGCTGCCACCGCGGTGCACATTATGAAAAACCATATGAGAAAATCTGCCAAAAACAAAAAACCAACAACAGGCGCAGAGAGGAAACTACTCTCAAACACAAAGAGCACAGAGCACAGAATGCTGGAATCTGGAATCTGGAAACGCACATATGCTTTCGCTTCGCCAACGCTCGTATCGCATCCATGAGATACACTTGATACGGCGAATGGGAAGTCGAGACGATACAAGGCGATCCGATGCGATCCGAACCGGCAGCTGACTTGCAGTCCTTCCATAGATAGCGATAGCGGAGTGAGTGTGGGAATTTCGCTATGAGAAAAGCGAGAGAGACAAGTCCCAGCAGTGGCAACAGCAGCAGCAGCAGCATCCAGAAGTGGCAGAGAGACAGATGCAGCAGCAGCAGCAGCAGTGATCTCTAGAGGTAGCAGGTAGCAGACAGCATCCACCGACCGGAGCGGAGAGGAGAGGAGCGGAGAGGAGAGGAGCGGTGCGTGTGCACAACATGTGGAAAATGTGGCAGGGAAATGGGCAGGGAATTGTCGATGGATGGATGGGATGATGTTTTCCCTATTAAATTCCGGCCATATAGATAAATAAATCCGGTTCAGGTCAAAGGAAATCGTCGGCAAACTTTAATGCCTGGGGCCACGGCCTAGAACCGAATTTTCATTTTCATTTCCATTTTCATTGGATGCAAATGCATCCGCGGTTTCCGGTTGAGAGTTCCCCGTTCGGTTATGGGTATGGGGATGTGGTTGGAGTTTCCTCTCACTCGAAACACAGAGAGAGATCTCATCTCGGAGGTCATCTGCTCATAACAAGATCCATTTAGCAGGCATTGTCCGACCTTTGTCTACGGCTAACGCCCACAATTAGAGAACAAACAGAGGGAAAGGTGTGAAAAGAGGTGTGCAGCGGCGTTTCTTCTGTCTTATCTTTCCAGGTAGAGGGCTCTACCTTGTCAGCATATGGTTAGGGCCCAACGATTGATGCCTTCAGATAAGAGCGTGGGCTGTGCTGGCCCTGCAAGGGAGGCCCCCTCTCTGTGGTCTTAAGAACTGTTGATATCTTGGGTGCCCTTTTTGGGTGCCCTTTTTGGGTGCCATTGCGCAAACTTCTTCAGAGTGTTCCAGAGTGTGTGGGTGTACGTTTCGGGGGCTTTGCTTTTGGGAATTATGGGAATTGTCCCAACATTCATTGTATCTCTTCTTCTTGATGTTAACTTTATGTTTCATCATGTTTAGCTCTAATTCTTTTATAACTAGAGCCCGGATTTGTTAGCCTTTTCCTCTTCTTTTATTCACTCATTTTCCCATTTCATTTTCTGTTCATCTCATGCTCCTTTGACGTCAATCCCAAAATCAAATAACTTTTATTGCCCTACGGCCGGCCAATCATCAGTTTCCCATTTTCATTTCCCTTTCAGTCGACAAAGTCGGAATCATTTATCAATTAGACGCTCTCACACTTTGATTCCTTCAGGGGCCCACTTCCTGCTCTATAAAAAGGGAAATCCCAGCCAATTCTCCCATTCTCAATAGGAGTTTTTTTACAGTGGCAAATTGGGAAGGGGGGGGGAATTTATGGGGCCATTCAAAAGAATGTTCGGGTAAGCGATACATATTTTGTCAACTCGTAGACAATTTGTAGGCATGACGACCCCTATATAACAAAGACTCTCTATACCTCGCTTGTTCGTCCGATCTTAGAATACGGCTCCTGTGTATGGTGCCCTCAGTACAAAGTACACCAGGACCGTATAGAATCAGTACAGAAAAACTTTTTACTCTTTGCTCTGCGGGGCCTTAACTGGGATGCGGGTGTAAGACTCCCATCTTACTCTAGTAGACTATTATTAGTAAACCTCCCATCCTTAGTTAACCGTAGAAAAATGCTTGGTGTGATATTTATGCACAACTTGATCAGGGGTGACATAGACAGCCCTGATCTGTTGAGCCGCATAAACTTCACGATTCCTATTAGACTGACTAGAAACTTTATACCGTTGTTCCTTCCACTTTGTAGATCGAATTATTCCTTGCATGAACCGTTTAGGGTCTTATGCTCGGACTATAATTCCCTCTACCATATTATATCCTCCACTAATTCTCTTCCTCTTATTAAATTACTAATCCTTACACACCTTTCTAGTAATTAGTAATTGTAGTGGTATTTGTATTTTGTATTTTCTTGCATGCTTAATTTCTTAATAAGTTTAGTGCTAATTTTCCTCGAAGGTTAGTCTAATATCTATCTTTCTTGCATGCTCGCGTTTGGTTCGGCTACGCACCGCGCGTCATGCGGCAGCGCCCCTCGGTCGGTTGGGCGGGAGGAGGGCTGCGTTTTGCCTGGGATCCGCGCGTAACAGCCTTCTGCTGGTGTCACACGGGCCACTTGACGGTGCAGTAATTGCATCGCCTCTTGTTAGATGCAGTCATTGCATGTCAACGTCCAATTATATGAGTGGACAAGATTCCCTTTGTTGCACGAGCATGTGGCGCAGACATTCTTCAGGACAGGAAGCTGATTGTGTCTCTGGAAATATGTTTTCTGTATAACTTCTATTCTGTGGGCCATAAATTACCCCCGAAAAAGCTGAGGAATGGCCAGAGGGCCGCCAGAGGACCGGCAAAAAAAAAAGAGTCAATTTTCTAGTATTTTAATGAGCTCTCGAGAGCTCTGGAGCTCCATGAAGCTTCGTTTTGGCCTTTTCGTTTGCCATTTGCTGTTTGCCGCTCGCCGCTTGTCCGAGAGTTTCTTGGGAACTGCAAATTAAACTAAACTAGTTTTCAGTTTTCTGTTTTCCGAGCGCCAAAACGAAGTACAAAATGGAATTACGCATGAAATGGGCTCGAATCGGAGTTTGTTCGGTCCAGAAATGAACTTCAACTTTTGCCCGCTACAGCAAATGGGCTACGGTCCGCCCTCTGTGCCACTAAGCAAACAAAATTAACATTTCTGCCTTTTCTCCCCCTCCCTGGTTCCCTGGTTCTTGGCCTGGTCCGTTCTGCTAGTGCTTTTTGCTGATTATATCCGGCTGTGGGCTCTGGCTAAAGAGGCTTACAGTTACACGTAGCTTAGTGTTTGCCCAGCAACAAGTTCTGCAGCAGCCTCTCCTCGCGGCAACACAGATTCACTTGAAATGTTGCTCAACATGCCCATGCCATGCTCCAGGTACTGCTGGCGATGAGTGCGTGATTTGAGAGCATGAATAACCTGTGGAGGATGGATCTTAAAGGGTTTATTGGCCTTCTTCAGCGATCTTAAGTATAGATGCTGGCTGGAAAGAAGCTGCTCTAGTCGGACATTAAAGGTGGTTTCTATCAGTCACATGGCCATCTCTAATGCAAGCAAAGGTAAGGCCTGCAGCAAGTGACTAACTACCGCAAGCGAAGAACATCTCATCTCCATCTCCCTCCCTCTTCCACTCGCTGTTCTCTGCTATTTGTCACGCTTTGACGTAGTTTGCAGACGCCGCGGACGCAGCACGCGCGTCGACGTCGCAGTTAGCGACAAGCGTCAGCGCTTAGTCACATGCATACACACACACACACACTCGTACTCGTTTTCGTATTCGTTTGATGCATTTGTTGTCGGTCTTTGACTTTTGCTGCGCTTTTCCGCGTCTGACTGTCAACACTCTGCTATGTTGCCCGCTGCTGCTGCTGCTGCTGCTGCAGCGGGGACATGTTGCTGAAGGTGATTGGCCTTTGGGCAATTTTGTTGCTAAATGACGTTGCAGCTTACTTGTGGCTGCTGGGGCAGGGAAAAAAGTTGCATCTCCTGGTATTTAGTGCAAATATGCGCTGGCTTTTAATCTATGATGCATTAACTGTTAATGTGCTTAGTGGCAGCTGCTGCTTGCCTCTTGACATCTCTTCCTGTCCGCCAGTCGGAAGTGCAGCAGCAGCAGAAGCAGCAGATACATGAAATATGTTTATATGCATGATGTGTGAATACACACTAAGCACAGTGGTGGGCAAAATAAAAGGTACTCTGAGTGTTAAATGAAATATAGGCCTTTTATTTATTTGCCAGAAAATATATTTGAAAATACAACATGAATCGCTCCAGAAACAAATGGTAAGATTATGAAACAACGAATTACCGTCCATCCATCTGATTGCCCCACAGCTCACCGATGCTGCAGAAGAGCTTGGATATGCGCCTGCGCGGCGCCCAGGCCAAGGCGTACCTCAAGCGGGGCGCCTTCAACGTGCTCGTCCTGCTGCTGCTGCTGCTCCACTTGTCCGGGGCGTGCCCGTGCCAGCGGCGAGGCTACTTCTTCGCGGCAGAGTGCGCCGTGGCCACAGTGGTGACCCTGAACGCGGTGGCCTGTCTGGCCAAGTACTCGTGGCTGTGGCTAAGCGGCGTCCATGGGATTGGGACATATGCCCAGAAGTGCCTACTGGATGGCTACGATGGCAACTCCTTCAGCACCATCTGCGTACAGAAGGAGAAGAAGCCGCGTTGCCCTGAAGTAGAACCCTGCTTCAAGGACTATGTCATCAACTGGCACTCGTCTTTCGAGGACTCCCGCTGCCGTCCCAGGCGCAGCCTCGGCAGGACTCCCCAACGGCAGAGTGCCTGCGCGGAGGCGCCGCCCGACGACTGCCTCACCGATGTCCGCCAGCTGCCGGCCCTGATGAAGAGTGCCCGGCGTCACCGGAGAAGCTCGGAGATTGCGGACGGGCCCAGCGCGCAGCCCACGAGCCCGGGCAATGCGTTCTGGCGCTGTTGCAACAACCAGTCTATCGAGCCGAGGACAATCTATCAGCTGGCGCCCCCGCCGCCACCGGCCTGCGCCGAGAACGCCCCCCCGACCTTCGAGGAGTTCAGCTCGTTCCAGTTCAAGGACAGCAGCTCGGAGGTAATCGGTCGCATCGCCACGGACAAGCTGCCGCAATATGTGGCCAACCTCAGGAACTGGATCTCCACCACCGTACTGCAGCGCCTGGTCAGTGAGATCGACAACGTGGACAAAGGGTTCCGGCACCGAGGCCTCTGCGACATGAAGATCGGAGCCGTGGGCCTGGAGCGCCTGCGAGTGGCAGCAGAGTGTGCCCCCACTCTGCCCACGCTCCTGCTCTTCCTCGAGGGCTTCAGCAACCAGGAATACCTGGTGCAACGCATCAGGGATCTGTCGCAGGGCTCCCGCCTGGCCGATTTCGGCCGCCACGACCCCGAACCGGCCTCGAACTTGCCCTCGGATGCCGCCATTGTTTTCCATCTGTTCTGCGCCTACTTGGACAGCCAGCTGATGCTGACGCACCAGACGCGCGGAGGATGGCGGCCCTTCCGCCACTACTATGTGCTGGTCCGCGACGACAAGCGCTCCCTGGCGGCCAAGGACTTGGCCCTGGCGGTGCACAACCAGGCCCACTGCGCCATCCTCTGCAGCGGCAGCCCGCTCGACCCCAAGTTCAATTTCATCAGCGGCAGGGAGCTGCACAGCTGCGCCTACGACAGAAACCACCTGTTCTGCGTGATCCTTCAGTTCCTGCTCTACATGCGCCAGCGGCAGGGGTCCTCGCTCGAGGGAGTCAGCCTGGGCAAGGGTGGCATCAACATCATGTGCGTCATCGACAACTGAGACAGCCATGCCCATATATTGATACCAAACCATATTAAGGCTATAATTATGACCCCAACTGTAGGCTCCTATGAATACCACGGAATGCTGCAAGGAAACCCCACTATGACACTCAATTAAACTCGATTGTTGTTTAATTATTTCAACAATTATTCATTTTTTACACTGCACACTACTTTATATTGTATTTAAAGCATCGCAAGGTGGGGCTGCAGTGCTGCTCTGGCACTCGAAAGCCCTTTTCCAAGAGAATTAAAATGAAAATAATTGCCTGCAACAGATTTGAGGGCATTGGGGGGGTACATTAGCTAAGGGAAGAGCAAGGGGTATCCTTCGGAGGAATAAATCCCCCATTTTCGATGGGTTTTCCCAAGGAATGGGTTCCGAGTGCATTTATTTTCTGTGGAAGATCAATTTGAAGGGCATTCAAGAACCATTTGGCATTTCCACGGCAATTCCCGTGAAGAGGCCTCCCACGTTGTTGAAATTAATTATTGTAAATGGCATTTTGTTTTTTTTGTTTTTGTTTTTTGTGAAATAAAGCGCACCGTCGACTGTCGACTGTCGACTGCCATTGATTAACACATAAAGAAAACACTTTAGGACATTTTAAATTTCCATTTACATTACTCTTGCCTTTTTTTGTGTCTTGTTTTGGCTCTGAAATGGCAAAAAATACACACGCTTCATAAATCTGTTAAAATCCTGCCATATTTCATTGAAGCCTCCGAAAGACCGAAACGTTTGCCGCCTCATAAATTTCAAATATAACACAAAAAACCAAATAAAAGCCGAAAATTAAAAATCTAAAAAATCGCATAAAGCTTTCAGCCCTTGGCGGAAATTATAAATTCAGAGCAAGAGCTCTCGATTTTCCCCATCTGGTATATCTGGTATATTCTCTCCGTGTTTTACACAATTCTCGATTGCAGCAGGGTGTTTTTCCTATTTTTCACTGGAAAATCAAGCGGCAGTGGGGGGGTACGGTTTCACAGTGGGTTTTCTTTCTTTCTTTCTTTTTCTGTTGTGGCGGTTGTCAATAAATTATTGCAACATGCTCTATTTTTGGATAATTTTCACTCTGCCCCCCCACCAGCCCCACCTGTGCTTGTCCCCGTTTTAAATTGCAGTTCATTGGGATTTTGGGAAATTGCAATTCTATTCAAATTCTAGACAAACGTTTCGCCAGTCGCTTTCCCAGTCCACAAGGCAAGGTCGTCCGTCGCCCATTGTCTACGAAATTCTCCCTCAGTTAAACAAATTGCACATTTGTTGTGGATAAATCAACTGAAAAGAAGACAAAACAAGCGACTATCCCACACTTGGATGCGTCCTCTAATGCCCTCAAAGTCACAACAGACACAAAATGTAGCCATAAACAAAATATGCCCCGAGTGCAGAGCAGATCCAGCCAGAGCAGATCTCTCGCCCACATGCTCTTCCCCCGAAATTCCAAGAAGAGAACTCCTAATGAAGTTATGATCTTGGGGGAATCATCTGCCTGCCAGCCAGCCTGTTCGTCTGCATCTGCATAAAATGCATATATTTTTAGGGCCGTTCCATAAATATACCGCAAAAGCTGGAGGGGAGGAAGCCCTCCACTTAAGAGCTCAAACAATTAATATTTTCCATATTTCTTCTCGTTCTTTCATCTCGATCTTTTCTTTTCATTTTGTTTATTCAAGTGTCGATTAAGTTGTTTTAATATTAAGTATTCTTCTCCCTGATGTATCTCTGGCCAGAGGCCGTGGGCCGAACAGTGGAGAGCCTTGTGCCTGTGTGTCCGATTAGCATTATGTTGCACATGCATTTATTTGTGTGTGTGTGTGTGGGCGAGTGATTCATTTCCATTTCCATTTCCATTTATGGGGCACTCCGGAGAGTGGTTCAAGGCAGTGTTGTTCAAGATTTGTACCGGGTATTTATAGGACTTTATCCAGGATGTTGTTTACCAAAAGGGAGACCTCAGAGCGAGAGATATTCCCTTTTTCCGTCTCGTAAATTGATCTCGTTTTCCCCGTTGCCCACACAAATCATCCTCCACTGGGGAGCCAATGCCAATCACAACTCTGAAAACTGCTAACTGCCGAAAAAAAAGCGCCAACTGCCAGCAAAAGTCTGGCCAAGAGAAGAGCAAGAAACAGAAAAGGAACTGCAGCTCCTCCGCCAACCGATTCTCACACAAATTTGCAAACGCACAATTAAGTCGCCTGGGAGAAGAGCAGGAGGAGGAGCAGGAGCACAGAGGAGGAGCAGGAGCTTCCTGCTGGCAGCAGACCCTTTCCCCAGTCTGTGCCCCCATTCTGTGCCCCCCCTGCTGCAGTGGAGTATATGATGTGCCAAGAAAGACGTCAACTTGTCACTTGGCAGCCCATCAGCAGTGGCAGTGGCAGTGGCAGTGCGGCAGTGTGGCAGTAGCCCTGTTGCCCCAGCAGCGGCAGTAACAGCTTTTAAGTTGGTTAATTTGTCAAAAGAAGGGACACACACAGAAAAAACTGCAATTGTGTAAAGAGTTCTCTCGTTCGTTTTTTGCCTTTTTTTGGGTCCTGGGCACCCCCGAAATGTCCTGAATGTCTGATGTGCCAAGAGTTTGCATTTAGTCGGACGGCAGTGGCAGTGGCAGTGGCAGTGGCATGGCACTGACTGATGTACACAGAATTAATCACGCTCAAATAGAGCTCCAAAGTGGGTTCCAGGCTTTGCTTTTTTGTTGTTTTTTGTTGTTGTTTTTGGGCTTTAAACTGTAGAGTTTCCGGCCTTTAGAGAGCTACCAACAAAACGGGTGTTACACGCATATCGATTACGTGAGAGGCACGGTAGGGTCGGGGGCAGGGGCAGGGGCAGCTAAAAGTTGCAGTTTTGCAGTTAATGAATCCCCAAGGTGTCCACAGAAGAAACTACTCGGAAACGCACACAGAAAGAGAGCGAGAGAGGGAGAGAGGGAAAGAGGCAACAAAAAGTAAGTCAATCAAGTTTTAGCCCCAACATTCCTCCGCATTCCCACAGTGCATTAAGCATTAAGCAGGGCTCTGCTCTGCCCTGTCCGGCCAACAAATTCCTGTATCCCAGGGATCCCAGGATAGAAAGGGACCCGAGAAACAAAAGCAGAACCACTTGCGGTTGCATTTTGCGGTTTCGTTGCCATTCGGGGGCATGCATCCACCGACACAGCCGCTGCAAAAGCGAGAACGAACTTTTCTCAGGGCGTGAGAATATCTCGCTCTCCCTCTCTCCCTCTCTCTGTCGGGTGTGGGGGTGTGGGAGCACGTGGTAGAAAGTAAATCTCAAGGCAAAATGGATTTCTCAGACTGATAAGGCGTGAAACTGTGAGATACATTTCGCAGCTAAACGAAAGTTTTACGAGGCCTCCAGGCAGCAGCACAAACGAGAGGTTAACCCCAAGACAGAAGCTACACTGACCCTAATGGATCATCTGAGTGAGGAAAAGTGTGGCGGAAAAGTGGGGGAAAAGAGTGAGAGCAACAAAAGGGAACCAGATCATCTGTGGGCTGAAGAAAGTTCCGAGATAAAACCTTGATTGGCCATAAAACACAGAGTGGAGATCGGGAAAGGCCTCAAGACTGTAGATAAACCCCCAAAGCGATGGCTAATGGATGATTTAGCTGAAGATCAAGAAACATTTAGGGGGCTTTTGAATGGGGAATACCTTAAGGGAGATCTTCGCTTCTAAGAAGGCCACTAGTATATGGATTAGGGCAAAGAAACTTGGAGATATCTTCTCTTTAAGATAGCTCACAACAATCTGTCATGTTCGAGGCCAACATCTAATGAAATTCCGCTTAACTCATCTCAAATTCGAATGCAAATTCCCCCGTTCGATGAGTAATAGTAGATTTCCCTAGAAGCAAATTCAATACCGAATCACTTAACACAAATTCCTCAATCACACTTACTCGTATATAATCGTTCTCTCTATATAGAGAAGAGCCCCCCCCCCCCCCCCCCCCTCCCCGAGAGAAAACCGGTGGCTCTATAATTGTTTTATGGCCCACTCGCATTTCACAGCCTCGCAAGCAAATAAACCGCTAACAGATTTTGTGTACTTAGCCTTTCTGTTAATTAATTGTTAACAAAAAAGCCAACTGTCGACAGAAACAGAAACAGCCAGAAAGAGAAAGAGAGAGAGAGAGAGAGGGAGATGGATAGAAAGAGAGACAGAGAGACAGCACACACAAAAAAAGTGTCGTCGTCAAGCTTCCAATTTTCGCTGACACTTTTGGTGCCATAATTTATAATAAAATATCACAACCCCCCTCCCCGCACCGCACATAGTCGTACATATATTATACCTTTTGAGTGGGGGCTTTTAAAGGCGCTGACTAAGTGTGTTTTTCGCTGTAATTTAGCCAAGTTAGCATGAAATGGTAAACGAGGTACGAAGCCCCGCGACTGACTTCAATTCAATTGAATTTCGGAATTCGGAATGAATACTTTTGATATTTTCTGTTGGCCTCCACCTCAGAGGCAGTCGTCGGTCGTCGGTCGCCTCATTGAATTGCAAATTGATTTGCAAAAATTTGCTTATGACACGAGTGACGATTGAAAGGAGACACAGGGGGGAGTGGAAGGGGAGTCACTAAAAGATACAGATACTCGGATACTCAGATACATGTAAGCAAAAGTCCGGGTGGCACAATTTTTATGGCAATTTCTGTTTCAATTGTCTTTCGACTGGCGATTGGCGGGACATATGTGTGCCCCATGTGGGTGTGGCACCGCTGTTTCCATTTGAAAGACAATAGACCTTTTGTCTGTTCGGTTCGGCATAGCTGTATATGGAAATCGTACAACTTCCTGAAGCTATAAAGCCCCAATCCCAATCCCAATCCCAGTGCCTGCCACTAGCCACAGATTATGCGACAAAGCGTTCACGGATTGAAACGATTCCTTCTGCAGAGCAACAATCCTTTCATCGGAATTCTTCTAGAAGCAAAAACTCGTTTTGTAAGACTCCACACTCCACAGATCGTATCAAGAGACATCTTCATTCGCTCAGCAACAACATCGCAGCATTTAGTACGAATTGAGTTATAAGCAAAGGCCCCTCCCCTCCCTAGTAGATCTCCGGCGAAAGATAGATGATGGTCGGACGGCAGACCACACTCGAGAGACTAGAGACTGCCTCTCCCCCCCCTTGCTGGGCCTCAATCAATAGACTACTTCCCTTTTAAAACGCCTTTTTGGGCCAGGACGTGGGTGCAATATCGAATTATCAAATGAGGCGAATATCCTTTCGAGCAGCACGTTTCTGCCAGCAGCCCCAAATTGTTGTGACCTGTA